GTTGTCTGATTAATTTCTTTCTATTTTTAGTAGAGACGGGGGTCTCGCTCTTGCTCAGGCTGGTCTCGAACTCCTGAGCTCAAACAATCCGCCCACCTCAGCCTCCCAGAGAGCTAGGATTACAGGCGTGAGCCACCGCGCCCGGCCCCCTTTATGAGCCTTTAATCACACATTTGTTTTCTATTATTTCTGTATGTCTGGCAAGAGACAACACAGGGTAGAGGTCAGGAGGATGGACTGTTGAGTCAGACCACCTGGGTTTGAATCTCAGCTCCACACTCACCTATGAACTGTGTGAACTCGGCAAGTGGCCTATTTTCTCTCCATCTCCTCATCTGTGAAACGTGAATAATAGTAGCACCTACCACAGGGCTGTTGTGAGGAGCAGATGAGTGAACACATGCAAGGCACCTAGAACAGCGCCTGGCACACAGCGATGCCACGCGGGTGGGAGCTGCTGCTGTTCGTGTAACTGTGATCTCGCCTAGCTAGACTGGAAACTCTCGGAGACGTTTTAAACATGGACATTCTTTTAGATTTCTTTTGCATCCTTTCCCCATTATTTCCTAGAATAGTGTGATTTCAAGGCCCTCAAATATTCATTGAATAAATAAATGAACGACTCTTATTTGAGAAGCTTGTACAGAAGGAAATTGCTGAGCATATGATTGTCACTTATATGGCAACCAGCACGTAAATGTCCATGGCTGACTGTACCTGGCACTTAATCTTATTTTGTTAAGAGGGGAGAATATTTGTCTTAAAATTAGTCTTCTAGAATAGCACAGGAAGGCCTTTCATCTCCACCTAACAAAGCTACTTGTCAGTTAGACACAAAGAAGCTCGCCTTAATATATAATAAGGAAACCTGAGCCGCCTGGGGTGAGAACATTGGAACTGAGAACATTGGAACATTGGAACTCCTGAGCCTTGCGATTTACCATCAGCCCTTTTGTAACATACTACATGTGTTTAATATAAAAATAAATTGCATTGGGTAACACATTTCTTCAAAGTGCTAAAGGAGATGTGTTTGAATCCTTAAACAGCAGTTGTCCTTGTCCATTCTCTTGGGTGTATCTAATGATGCTTTTATTTCTCTGGAGGTTTAAATGGGTCTGGGGTCTTGTGGGACAAGAGAGTGTAAGAA